ATTTCTACTTTGTTGCTGAGTTAAACAAAGTAATAAAGCTGGGAGAAATGACACCTTTAAAAATTGTTCTTTAATTAAAGGCAGAACAAAAATGATAACAACTTTTTTTTTGGCTTATTGGGTCACACCCGACGATGCACAGAGGTTACTCCTGGCTCTGCACTCAGGAATTACCCCTGGAGGTGCTCAAGAGACCATACAGGTTGTTGGGAATCGAACCCGGGTTGGCCGCATGCAAGGCAAACGCCTTACCCTCTGTGCTATTGCTCCAGCCCCGATAACAACTATTAAAGTGAGCCATTATGTGCTGTCTCCAATAATTTCCCATCGTAAGGTTGGAAATAAAGGAGGAAGATATATACACTGGGGGAAAGGCACTTCTCTTTAAAGAGGCACCTGGATTTACAAAGTGTCAACAGAATTTCAGGAATTTCAACTCCATCAATGACCCCAGATCCCCACCCACCTCCTGATCCTCCAAACCACTGCTATCCTGTTTGCCTCCTTACCAGGCACATTTTAGAGTTTAACTATTGTAGTTTGAGTCCCATGCACATAGTCATGTTGGTGCGTTAGATAAATACAGCTATGATGCCTCTATACCACTGATGTGTGCAAGGCCCCTAGAGGCATAATTTTTAATAAGAAAAACATCAGACACCTAAGTTATCACTTATAGAATCTGGGCTACAACCTCTTCTCTCTAGTCTTGTTTATATCATCTGCAACTTAATTAATAAAAATATTTTAACATGCAATATTGAAAATCTAATGCCATTTGATAAATATTATGCCATGGGTACATAATTAGCATGTTTTGTAATTGAATACATTTATTGTAAAAAAAATTCTACATTCACAGGAATATCTTGTAATACTTTCAACATCTCAAAATTGAAATATAACCCCACTATACAATTCAGCCAGGAAAATGTGATGCAGGGCCTGAGTACAGGAGTTAAGTAAGGCATTGCTTCTTGCAGGTGGGCCACTTTGCAGTGATCCCGGTTCAATCCCCAGCACACGGCCCTTAAGCACAGCTAGTGGTCACTCCTGAGGTAGGAATGGTTCCAAAGCACCGGTGGGTGTGTCCCAGAAAACTCCAGAACGAGAGGGAAAGGGAGAGGAGAGGGGGAGAACAAAGGGAGAGGAAAGGAAGAGGGCAAGGAGGGGTGAATCCAGGTGCCATGGTACTTCTGATCTGACTCTCCTGTGGCATTTGACAGTGCTCACCATCCCTTTCTGAAACATTTCCCTTAACATCTTTGAAATCACTGGCCCTTCCTGTGTTTCTTGTTTCATTCCGAATCCTTCCTGATATTTTTTGGTTTGTTTTGCTTTTTGGGTCCACCTGGCGATGCACAGGGGTTACTCCTGGCTCTGCACTCAGGAATTAACCCTGGCAGTGCTCAGGGGACCAAATGGGATGCTGGGAATCAAACCCGGGTCAGCCGCATGCAAGGCAAACGCCCTCCCCGCTGTGCTATCTCTCCAGCCCCCTTCCTGATATTTTTGACTGGCTTCTATTTGGAACTCATCGTCCGCCTCTATCACTGACCACCACAAGTCAGTTAAACACGAGATGCCATAGTTCTGGCCACAGCCACTTCTCCTCTTGCTTCCATTCTGTATTCTCTCCCTGAACACTCAACTACTCCCCTGGTTGAATCACCATGGGTCACAGAGGTCATGAGCAAAACCTCTTCCCACCCTGAGCCTCACTCCGACACGGTGGCTCTGTTACTGACCCACTTAGCAAACACTGCTCCCATGTGCCCCACAGGCATCTCAATTTTAAAACATCACAAACCACTAAGCTTGGAACAGAGAGACAGCACAGCAGGTCAAGCACTTGACTTGCAGGCATCCGACCTGGGTTTGATCCTGGGTACCTCTTTTGGTCCCCACGCACCACCAGGAGTGATCCCTGAGTACAGAAGCCAGGAGTAGGCCCTGAACACGGCTGGGTGTGGCCCAAAACACACATACACAAATCACGGAACCTATAAGCTCAACAACCACCACGATCACGATCACGACCATCCTATTATTCGTCGATAGCCTCGAGCAGGCCCCAGTAACGCCTCCTTTGTCCTAGCCCTGAGATTGTTTTAAAAAGTGCCATATTCAAAGCTCATTCAGAGTTAGGAGAATGAGACCCTTCATTGTTACTGGTATTTGGCATATTGGGTACGCCACGGGGAGTTTGCCAGACTCTGCCGTGTGGGCAGGTTACATTCGGTAGCCTGCCAGGTTGTCCAAAGTAAGAATGAGATAATAAGATGTCATCCGGCCGTGAATGCGACAAAAACTATAAATCCCAACAACCATATTCATTCCTTAATTCCCTTGTTTTCCCTTAGTCTCCTTGTGTGTTGACACCATCCCTCACAACAAACTGAAGGTGAGTCCAACCGTCGTATGCACTGTGAGCACACAAGTTACGACATGCCAGGGAGAGCAGAATCCAGAACAAGTCCACTGTGGCCCCATTACTCAGGGAAAGAACTCAGTGAAGCACACAGCTCAATTAATAAAACCGTGAACTTCAGGTATAATTCTAGTAGAAAGGTTTACAAGTTGCATAAAGTGTTTAAGTGTCTCCCAAATGAAACCAAAAATTGCAATTCCTGGAGAACAGAGATCTCGTGTCTTCTTTCTCCCAAGCACATAACAGGCACACAGTCTAATGAAAGAAAGAATGCCACTGATGAATAAATAGGTCTGCCATTCCCTAATATTCAGAAGGAAAAATAGCTTTCTGTGCTTAACTTTTAACTAGAGAATTGGGATCAGCTAGGAATATTTGAACTCAGCATTTCTACATTTTCAGAATAATAGATTTTGCAAGGCAATATCCCGGATTATTAGATCAGCAAAGTCTTGCACTCATTCTCAATAAGGCCTATAAAATGATCTGAGACCTCTCTTGCTGCTTAAATTTTTACAGGTATTTGTATCATCTCCCAAATTAGTTTTATTGACAAATTTAATTAAAATGCTATTCATCATTCCTCTTTGATCAGTAGATGCACCAAACAAAATTAGACCTAACAATGATCTCAGTCTCAAACTCCTAATGACCATACCCTGCAGGTAGCATTAAATTATACTTCATGCAAATCAATGATTATATTCTCCTAACAACATTATCATTAGCTTCTCCCAAACCAAACAGTACTGCCTTCCTATTTTGACCTAAGAAAATAAAGTAAACAGAAAAAATGTACTTTTAGATAGTGGGAAGAATACGATGTAAGATGCTTGACAGACATATCACAAGGTTACTTTGTAGAACAGGAGTATCAAACTATGCATATCAGCTGCCACCCTCCATACAGATGTCTCTGAAGTGGTAATAAAAAGAGAAACCATTTGGTTTAATAATAATAAAAAAAGCAACATCAGTTGGTGCATATTACATGTAGCATCTAGCTCTGGTTGCCTGGCAACCAGTCCTGACGGAACTCCACAGAGAATGAAGGCCTTAAATGAACGTACAGTTTGTGCAAGTTTCAAGGACTCAAAGAGACATGTCAGTACTTAATCTAAATTCTAGTTGACAATTGCCATACTGAGGTGGAAGAAGGAGAATCCATCTTTATTGCACACAATCAGGCGTTAACTAACTAGATATGAGATTCAGCCCTTTAGTTTTACATATCATCTGAAACCGTGGTTTTATGGGGGGGGGAGATGACTATATGATTTATAAATTATAAAAACTTTATGCGGAAAAATTATATTATAATACTCATTCATTCAATAAAACACGGATCAATTTCTGTCTGTTGCCACATGCTGCCCAGGTCATCGCAAACATAAATATAATATAAAATCACTTTACAAGCTCTCAAGCAGCACATATTATAAGGGAAAAATTAGACAGGGAGATAAATGATTCTAACAATTATAAGTTCTGTGATGCAAAGGTCGTAGTGAGGTATTATGGCAGCATATTTTTTTGGAACTGAAGGTAAGGTATACTACGCTGAATGATATGTTCGTGGTTAGTACAGGTTCCTTCCAGACAAACTTCATATGCCAAGACTATAAAGTTTAGACATCATCCAGAATGAAACTAAAGAGAAAAAGAATGGTTTTAAACCTTAATCATGCAAACACCCTAGAAATGAGGAGACCCAGAAGCATCAACACTTTAGTAAGCATAAGTCTGAAGTATAAGAATTAAATTTAATGAGTTTGCTAAAGGGCTGGAGCGATAGCACAATGGGTAGGGCGTTTGCCTTGCATGCGGCCAACCCGGGTTCGATTCCTCTGTCCCTCTCGGAGAGCCTGGTAAGCTACCGAGAGTATCCCGCCCACAACACGGCAGAGCCTGGGTAGCTCCCCGTGGCGTATTTGATATTCCAAAACCAGTAGCAACAAGTCTCACAATGGAGACGTTACTGGTGCCCACTTGAGCAAATCGACAAACAATGGGAGGACGGTGCTACAGTGCAGTGCAGAGCTTGCTAAGGAGGCCGTGGAAGGTGAAAGAGAACCCTGGTCTTGGTGGAGGGACAATGACACTAATGGTGGGTTTGGGATTAAAACATTGTATGCCTGAAACCCTGTTATTACCAGCTTCGTAATTCACTAAATAAATTCTTGTTTAAAAAATAAATACTCAACAAGTACATTGTTTAAAAAATAAATACTCAACAAGTACGTTGTTTAAAAAACAAATACTCAACAAGTACGTAATATTAATGACTTGTACTTATCTCACAGAATGAAAACAAGGAGGGGCGTCTTTTTGTAGGAGTACTTCATCTTGAAGTCATTCATATCCCAGTTTGGACTTCATAATTTTTCTTCCCTAACTTCACTCCCTCTCTCTTGTTCTCTCTCCTCTCTTAATATCTAAAATAAAGCTACGTGACTTTCTAGAGTTTCTAATTTTTCCTTAAACGAAAGGATTTGAACCACTGCGACATGCTTGATCTGCTTGAATGCTCCTGATTTCTGAGCACGAGGAGGCTGTGCCGTCAGCTTACCTGAGGTGGCTGAGCAGAGGCTGAAGTCTCTCATCAGACTGCACGGCAGGCAGCGATCGGGCTGTTAACTAAAGGCAGAGAGCAGGATTAGTAAAAGCAACAAAGGCCAAACCTAAACAATTTGAATAATCAACACAAAATATGGGAAGAAGGGAAAGGTATCCTTAAAATATGAAGATGTCAGGCCAAAGAGATAGTACAGCAGGTAGGACGCCTGCCGTGTGTACCCAGGTCCCATCTCTAACACCAGATGTGGCACCCCGAGACCCACCAGGAGTAATCCCTGAGCCTACAGAGCCAGGAGTAAGCCCTAAGAACTGCTGATTGTGCCCAGCTCCCTTGCAAAGAAAAAAAAGAAGACGTTTTCTTTTAAATCAAAGAACTATAAAGAAAGATAATACACATACCATGTGATTAAATGCATAATGCATAATACATATATTATGTGACTCAAGGTGTGATTACAAAGTTTGTATGGCATGTCACTGCATTTACCAAAAAAAAAGGGCAAGGCAAAGACTAAAACCAAAGGGCCAGAGCAATAGCACAGCAGGGAGGGAATTTGCCTTGCAAACAGCCAACCTGGGTTCGATCCCTGGCATTCATATGGTCCCCCAAGCACCTCCAGGAGCAGTTCCTGAGTGCAGAGCCAGGAGTAACCCCTGAGCACTACTGGGTGTGAGACACACACACACACACACACACACACACACATACACACACATACACACACACACACACACACAGGAGTTCCCATTGGAACTGGACAAAACCCTTAGTCATGAAAATACTATCTTTGCAAATGAAAACAGAGAAACCTGAGGCCAGAGAAATAGTACAGCAGGTAGGGCACTTGTCTTGCACATGGCTGACCTGGGTTCAATTCCCGGCATCCCATATGGTCCCTCGAGCATCAACGGGGGTAATTCCTGAGTACAGAGCCAGAATATCCCCTGAGCACCGCTGAGTGTGGCTCAAAAACTAAGACAAACATGGAGAAATCTTCAGGTTTTATCAACTAGTCAGATAGGACTGATTCTGGGATGATAAAGAAACTGTGAAGAGGGGCTTTCATTTCCCAGAGCTAAAACGCTGGAAAATTGATTACATGTAGAAGTACTGGTGCATGTACACACTACACACACACACACACACACACACACTATGCATTCCTTCATTTGGAGAATCACATACACAACCAACGCCAAATATACTAAAGCAACTCCAAATGTTTAATATCGAAATATATCAAATTGGTTTCAGAAACAAAATGCAAGAACCAGAGCCTTATGTTACATAGTGACAATATAGCATTAAAATGTGAAATTCTCAAACAAAATTGCAATCACACATATGTCTACAAATTTCTCTCTGTTCTTTTTATTATGAACTGTTTAGGGGTACAAAACCCATGCAAAGCATAAGTCCAGCCAGCTGAGCTATCTCTCTGACATTTCTTTGTTATTAGGAGAAGTTCTCTTGGGCCAGAGAGACAGGACAGCAAGTAAGGTGCCTTGCCTTGCACATGGCTGACTCGGGGGTTCAATCCCTGTCACCCATACAGTTCCCCAACCCCACCTGCCACTAGTGTGATCAAAGCAAAGAGCCAAGAGTAAGCCACTAAGAACCACTCTGTGTGTGTGTGTGTGTGTGTGTGTGTGTGTGTGTGTGTGTGTGTGTCTACGTGGAGGAGGAAGGGGAGCATACTTTTTTCTATAAGAATTAAACCCAAAGAAATGAAGAAACATTCATCCAAAATAAGTACACAGTTTGGAGCAACCTTAATAAATCAAACAAAAACATAAGATTCCTCTGGATTCAATTATGTCAAAATTGTTCCTGTATTCTACAGGCACTTGACAATTCATAAAAAGAACCTTCCTCAAGACCTAAGCAAACTGAAAAATACCCTTTGTTTTTATAGAGAAAAAAATCCCTCTGATTATTTTATATATTAAAATACTCTGAAAACTAAAAATAGACATTTTATCAAATCTGATTTTTCACAGCACATATCTGAAAAAAGATAAATAGCAGATGATCTCATTCATAAGTATAAAAAGAAACAAAGCAAGCGAAGAGACAACATCCAATGAAAAACCCTTAGAATCTGAGAGGAGAACTGAGGTTATCAAGTGAAGGGAGGAATGGCCTGAAAAGGTTCAATGGACACTGAAGAAAGGAAATTGGCAATCTGGCATGGCACGGTAACACACCCATAAAACATAATTCTTATAAACCACTATTACCTCAATATAATAGTTTTTAACACCATCACTTCTCAAACATGTACTAAATACATTATATATGAAAACATGTTGGCCCTAAAATGCCACACGAAGTTCGATCAATAATGAAGAAATATTCCCAATTCTTAGCAAGAATCTCAGTACATGCAACAAAGTTACTGACTAAGTAAACATCCAGTTAATAAAGATAATTTGTCTTGAACTCAGGGATCCCTCTTGGCAAGGCTCAGGGAATCAGATGGGGTCCTGGGGATCAAACCTGGATCACTCTCACCCAAGGTAAGCTCCCTGCCCTGCTGCGCTCTCACCAGTCTTTGCTACAATTGTAGCACAACCAAAAATCTCTCAAGTACCACAAAGAAATGTTAATTCCAGTATTTCACGACGCATAATATCTTATCAAGGTTTTGTAAACAGAAAACTTTAGTGTGCCCTATACCTGCTAATGGCAAATCCCTTTGCAAAAAATGTCATTTCCATTGTTCAAGAGATTACATAGCTTGAAACTAAAGTTATAGTCTTAAAAATATTATAAAAATTTAGGTATTTTAAAGTCAATTTTTGTGCTCGCTTCGGCAGCACATATACTAAAATTGGAACGATACAGAGAAGATTAGCATGGCCCCTACGCAAGGATGACACGCAGATTCGTTAAGTGTTCCATATTTTTTTCAAAATAAATAAATAAGTAAATAATTTTTTTAAAAAGTCAATTTTCAATAAACCAAGGGAACAGACTGGACTTTGCTTCTGTCCATCTGTCGTTTTTAAGGGAAAACAAACTCCTCAGTTACGGCAGAGTGCTTCTAAATGTCTCTTCATTCCACATAGGAAGTATTTTTCTGCTCTTAAGTCTTCCCCTCTTCCCTCCTCGATCAATCAATATATCAATTATCCATTCACTGTAGCTTCCGCTTTCATCTCACCTCTTTCCTAGTTTATTCTCCACACCAACGAATACAGAGAAACTTGCCAAATGAAAGCTAACCCCAGCCTTCATTAAACGTATATCTTGCTTCTCAGAGACTCTGAATCCACCGCTCTCCTTCCTACCTGCTCTTTTCACTTGGTGTGCATGCGGGACTGTGAGTGGCTTCTCAGCCTCTGCCTGTTCCCTGAGACAGACACAGTGGAGGCTTATCAGGCAGACACTTGCCAACGTTGCAGTTTCCAGGGCACCACTGGATTCTCTTCCCACCCCTTCTGCACCCCTCAACGTATTTCCAAGTTCAAATACTATTTTCAAGCTATTATTTTCAAGCGGAATCACCAAGTCTTGGTCCTAAAAAATGCATACTGTTAAGTCAAATTATTTCAAGGAAGATTTTTTAGGTACCCTAAGGTTTCATTTCCAACTCTGAAAACAATTAGCATTTCAAAAAGAGCACTATCTCTCCCAGTCAAGGAAAGGAGGGAATAAAGCTCTCCTGGCTCCTTCAAAGTAACAAAGCCATCTGTTTGCTGACCTTTTGCTGACTGAATGTAAACTCAATTTCAGAGACTGCTGGCACCATCCCTGTCTGCTGAAATTTCTCTTTGAGCCCAAGTAACTACTTTTACATCCACTGGACTAGAAGGGGGCACTGCACACTTACAGCTCCAAATAACAACTATGCAGTAAACATTTAGTGAGAATATGCACTCAAAACTCTACAAGTATATGCTTCCATTCACTGATGAAAATATATCATGTCTACATTTCATAATGGTAACTTTTCAAATTCCTGCTTTATGCAAAACAAGTTTAAATCAAAATAAAATGAATTCACAACTGTCTTTCAAAGAGAGCAACGTACTACTAGAATAAGGCCTGCAGCATTTAGGACTTCCCTGTACCACTGAAATTACTATTTAATTCAAATAAACTTTGAAAAACAGCTCTTGATTTTTTTTTTTCTGTTTGCTTTTTGGGTCACGCCCGGCTCCTGGCTCTGCACTCAGGAATTACTCCTGGTGGTGCCTCAGGGACCCTATGGATGCCAGGGATCAAACCCGGGTCAGCCACGTGCAAGGCAAACACCCTAGCCACTGTGCTTCCGCTCAGGGCGCTCTTGCATTTTTTTAATAGAAAATGCAGGATGTCCTTGCATATCACTTAGCAAAAATGAGAGAAAAGGGGGATCTATCACAGTTTATATCTGTAACAACTACATGATCTGCTGTTTGTGTTAGGGCTGTTTCCTGGTAACCAGAATAAAAAATTGGCTTAACTATAGCTTATTTCTTATTCTGGTGAGTCGTCAGAGGTGAGCTATTAAGATGTCCTCCGTTTATTAAGAATATGCCTACCTTCCAGAATCAGGTACAGCAAAGTTTGTGCTTTTCCCCCCCCACACACAAGTATAACAGAATACAGACTGAAAACTCTCCTTCAAAAATCAGTAACAGGGGCTGGAGCAATAGCACAGTGGGCAGGGCGTTTGCTTTGCACACGGCTGACCCAGGTTCAATTCCCAGCATCCCATAAGGTCCCCCAAGCACCGCCAGGAGTGATTCCTGAGTGCATGAACCAGGAGTAACTCCTGTGCATAGCCGGGTGTGACCCAAAAAAGAAAAAAAAATCAGTAACACCGAGTAAATCTCGCACTTTATCATGTATTTGTGTACGAAACTTCAAACATTTGGCCCTTAAATATTCTTTTTAAAAACAGCCACTACTTTTCTTCAATAGCACAGCGGTAGGGTGTTCGCCTTACAAGCGGCCAACATGGCCGACCCGAGTTCGATTCCTCCGCCCCTCTCGGAGAGCCTGGCAAGCTACCGAGAGTATTCGATATGCCAGACACAGTAACAACAAAGTCTCCAATGGAGACGTTACT